ATTTTCAAGCTAAGGTAGGACATCAAACTATGCTTCAGTATTTTGAGTTAAACAGAGGCCTTTGAAAGTAGCCTGACTTGCTGAATAAGCTTTGGGTTTGGTCGTTGAGGGTTAAGGGAGCTACGTCACGGTTGCGCACCTTGAAAATGTTAGCCTAAATTTTTCCAATTTTGTCGTTTGTAATCCATGTTAATCTGCTCCATCCTTAAACATCCTCGTTCGTTCGTGGTATATTATTATCTTTTTGGCGTTTCTCTATCTTAGTAAGCCACTATTTTCAGGTTCCCTATAATTTAAAAATAATATTTTGTACGTGGTCGAAATAACTCAAAATACCGTGACTGAACTTCTTTAAATCATAAGAAGCTATAAGAACGTTGTACATTTGTTTTCTCTCCTAATTCCTGTTTTTTTTTCTATTGCAGTAAGATAATTATGGACACCAAAGTTGCCTGCCTATTGTTGATCATTTTGGGGGCCCTTACCGTACAGGGTGCAGTCTCCGGAAACAAGAGGATGAACCCCTTGTACGCCAAGTCTTACGGGAGTGAGTGTCTCATTGTTCCATTTGACGACAACCGCACGTTGTTCAAATTGTACTTTTTAACTGATTTGTGAACATATCCATTAGACTGAACTGCCATTCTTAGGTTGTTCATGGAGCATGACTCGTTGTTTGCTAGCAAACAAACAATCATTTTTTGTTTTTGTTTACAGTTTGCAACCCCAAGTTTAGCGGAGAGATTTGCGTCGAGGAGAACACGGAGTGCCCGTATGGATATCAAAAATGCGACAAGTACTGCCCGTATGGAAATAAATGCTGCTGCCTGTAAGTATGGATTCTTAGCGGGGAATTATTTATTTTATTTGTTAACGTGTCAATACTTCAATCCCGTATTTACATCTGTTGTTATTGCTTGTTTTTTTTTACAATAACTACATTACACCGTTTTTGTGATAAAAACTAGCGATAAAAACCGCGAGTTAAAAATACAAAATTAGCATAAATATGTTTCTATCAGTAGAAGATAGTTGAAAATGTCACGTCAAAAATTAAAGTTAGATTAAAACTTTATACACAAGGATACATAAACTAAAGCCCCGTTCAGACTACGTCGGAGGAATTTGAAAACGCAGCTTTATTTCTACGGTCAGGCCTACCGTCCACACAAACCCTTCACGGAAACGGAGCTTTTCCAAAACAGTGACGTCATTATTATCATGTGACCTCCCTGCCCCAGTTTTCCTCAAACACAAATCCAAAATGACCGCTGATTGTTGCTTTTTCAAAATGTGTCCGGCGTAGTGTGGACTAAAAACATTTGATGCATTTTGAAAGTGAAAACGGCGTTTTCAAATTTCTCCGTCGTAATGCGTCGGGACCTAAATAACTCACATCTATTTTACGAGATGGAATAGACCGATCTGAAGACTGGCCTGTTTTGTGAAAAAATTAACTCCATTTATAATCAGTATTATATGATTTAACGGGTTCTAACGTTCTGCTACTTTTCAAAGCTCCTCGCTAACAATGTTATGTTATGTTTTCTTTTCCCAGGCATCGATTGCAACAATGACGTCTCGACAATGGAATGACGGCCTTAACTTAGTATTAAAATGATAATTGGGAAAATAAAAGCCGAGGAATTAAGTTAGTAAATGTGGGTATTGAGTAAATGCGGAATGCGGGGTTGGGATTCTGGTACCGTCACCTGTAAATAAGGAGACTCAAAACACATCCTCGTCATTTAGCTGCGCAATCCTTAGGCGTTTCAGGTCTTTTAACAGCTTAACTGACAACATTTCATGACCTATGACGTAACCACCGGGTTTCCAATTTTACCGGAAGTAAGACTCAGGTTTTCAGCCCAAGGGCGAATTTTCATTTTTCCGTTGGTCCAGAAGTCTCAAAATAAGCTAAATGTAAGTAAAAAAAACATCTTGGGTTCTTGTTTTTGAAAGTATCTTAACGCTTGATAAATGATTCCTTTTTAGAACTCCCGCTTCCCGCCCTATCCTCTCCCGCCTCCCGCCCCCTATTCACCCGGACTCCCGCCTTCCTGCCCCCCTTTTTATTAATACTATAAGTAGTGGAAAAAGGAAGATTAAAGAAACTCGATTGAAAACTCGGGGTGAAGCACAATTGGTTTCTTGATCGCAAAATAGACAAAGACAAATTTGACATACAAAGACAAAACAGACAAAGACAAATTTTCCGAGAACCCGGAAAATTAGATGATCCATTCTACAATCATGGACAAAAATCTTGGGACAAATTTGCACTTGTGAAAGTTTTTCACATCTTAAGCAAACAGTCGCGCGCAAATGCAATTTCACTTGCCCAGCCTCTCCCCACAGCCAAAACGTTGAACACGTTTGTTGAAGACAATTTCTCTTGAGGTTCAACATTGCATTGGATGGGGAAGGGGGCAAGAGCAACGCATTTTCAAAAGGATAGAAGTGCTTTCTCAAACTCAGTTGTTAAACAGATAATTCATGGCATTACATTGGCGTTCAAAGGATATTTGTCCACCATTGTAGTATGAACCTTTTCGAAAATTACACATTTAGACGCAAGTGTGGCACACATTGCTATAAATATTCAAAATATTCCTTTATTGATAACATTTGCTAAATTGATTATATGTAAGGTTTTTCCTTGAGGTGGGAATGGTAACTTGAGCTCCAGAATTTCTTATTTTCCCCCTTGTTTTCCATTGATAAATTTCAAAGTTCTTCATCTAAGATCCTCTTAATAATAGAGAAATATCAATTGAAAGTCGGCCTTGACGTAGAAATTACCAAGACTTGTGTCCGCTCAGTGATATCTAGGAACTTTGTAGAACCGAGATCATCTAGAAAAGCTCTTAAGGGTCGATAGTTTTGATTTGAGAATTTTCACAACGTCATAGGAAAGCCAAATTATCGGCACACAATGCATGCACAAGCGATGACGTTTAACTACCAAGTATAGTATTCTGGCTAGANGTTTTGATTTGAGAATTTTCACAACGTCATAGGAAAGCCAAATTATCGGCACACAATGCATGCACAAGCGATGACGTTTAACTACCAAGTATAGTATTCTGGCTAGAGAATTGGAAAATAAACAAACAAACGGATGCTTCAACGTAAATAGAAGTAACTGAAGGTGAAACCTGTCATCGTTATTTGTAGAGTGAGGTGAATTGCAGAGAATAAAACAGGAGTAAAAAAATAATGCACATTGTCGCGGTGGGTGGGGGAAAAGTCCTTTCTGTTGTTCCATGCAGTTGATATATATCGGTTGTAATTCAATGTAATAAAGTCACCAAAAGAAGAAATTTGTCTCCCCTAACTTTTAATTATTATCTATTTGGCCATGTTTGCAGCCTTAAGGATCCATTCAGCAGAGTTTCAAGTCATAGTCATAATGGTAAAAAAAACCCACATAATTCACAAGCAGCTTAAAGAAATATCAATAATTATATGTTCCAATGCACTATAAAGGGGAAGGTGGCCAGTGGTCTAGTAAATATTGTCAAACAATTTGTTTCGGAAGGAGTTTTCTGTATTCAGTTCAATACTCAAGCATGATTTCCTGTAAAGTTTTATTCTTAAAAGACACAAAAACGCATTTCACCGAAACATATATGAGAAATATAGCCCCCATGTGAGAATTTAATGAAAGTACCATGATAATTATTATTAAATGAGTTGTATTATACGGTACGTGTGTTTAACCTGTTTTA